ATGACTTCATCGTTGGGATATCATGCATCGCGCGCCCCAATGCTAGTTCTGTACCGTATGAAAACACCTGAACCGTCAATCGACAGTTGTGCGCTACACTTAACTCTCCACGTGGAATGATAGAAAAGATGACTTCAACTTCTATGTATTAATTAATTCAAATTCGCTGTTTTACCATTGAAATACTTTATATTGTAAAATAATTTTTTAAAATTTATTCTATCAAAACATAAACTAAATGTCATATTAGGTAATTTTTATGTCAAAGCATAAACTAAACTGTCTAAATTAGTTGAAGATAAGTCGAGCAGTTCAAGTTCTGCTTTTAAAATTGAAAAGTGTTTTTTTTTTAATGTAAAACACAGATAAATACAATATATACTATCATTTTAACTATTGAATTTAAAACTTAATGGCTAGTAATTTAAATAAGATTTATAATATATTATATTAATACTGCAAAAAAAATTTTTTTAAGTCAACATGTGTAATATATTTGGTTTGAGAGAAATATAAAGATAAAATTTTTTTATTGATTAAATTATAAAGTTTTTAAATATTATAATATGATTAGTTAAAAAATCCTTCCTCCTTTTCATTCCTCTCAAACCAAATATTCTCATAAGAAAAAAATGTATAAGAATGCTTGTCAAACTATTTAAGGTTAATAATATTATTTAAGGTTAAATAACAATTTTAGTCTATTAACTTTAAAGTTTTATACAATTTTTGTTTTACAATTATTTTCAACGCTCTTTTAGCCTTTCAACTTTAAAAAATATACTTTTTATTTATCTATCAATTAATTTATTATATATATATATATACACACATTTTTAGTCCAATTAACAAGTTGCTCGCACGGTCACTTATGCACATTCCACTTGCTCCCACGGTCACACGATTCATGCCTAAGAACTTCGCTATGCATGGGGTAAAGTTGGAAATTCAACGTAATGTCAATTAATGGGCTAAATAAAGCCCAATGGTGTAACATGGTGGACAGAACAAAGCCCAATTGGTTTCACATAATGGATTGGACAAAGCCCAGCAGCCTGAAGGAAATCCAACTATCCAAGGGAATTAC